TAATAGTCATAAAGACTAGCATCCTTAATAGTCGTAAAAACCTAACCTAACCTAATCTAACCAAAGCAACCCTAGTCCAAAGACTCGCATCCTTTATAGTCAAAAAGACTCGCATCCTTAGTCCAAAGACTCGCATCCTTTATAGTCAAAAAGACTCGCATCTTTAGTCCAAAGACTCACATCCTTTATAGTCAAAAAGACTCGCATCCTTAGTCAAAATACTCGCACTCTTAATAGTCAAAATGACTCGCAGCCTTAGTCAAAAGACTCGCAACCTCCAAATATCAGCTCTGTGACAAAACACAACAGAACCCTACTTTACAACCGGCCGTCCCGTCTACTACTGACTCGCCGGCAAGCTAAGCCCTTACATCACAATTTTACCTAATCGCAAATATTTACATCGCTGATCAATAAGTAATATTATTTTTTCTCGAATTGACTTTCAAATTAATAGTGTTCTAGCATTACTAGATAAATAAATAGAGAGTTTCCGAATTATAAAACCATTATTATAACCAACTTATTTTCCAAGTTTTACAATACTTTAATCGCAACGATTAGTACAACAAATAAACTACATAATAAAGATAATCTAAAAAATGACTAGTAATGGATAGTGTCAAAAAATGCTTAGTCCATATATCACTAAGGCTGTATTCCGTTGCTAAACCAGGCGAACCAGATCGGTAAACTAGGGTAAAGAGCGGTTTCTAAAAAAAATCGGTTTGATACTTAACGGTTTGGTAAAATATGCAAATGTTGCCGTTTTCTAAATTTCAATACCTCTATTATAAAATTTATCTTTTATGCATTTTTAATGTACCTGTTTGTTCTCTGCTCTTATGTTTGCTTCTTCTTTTCAATGGAGTTTAATATTGAAAAGTACTTTATTAATAAACTGTTAAACTCGTTAGACAGCTCAAGTGAAGATTTGCAGGTCCAATATTAAAATAGATCAATAATAAATAAACAAATCTAATCAATATTTATATTTTTATAGCTTACAAAACATTCACGATTACTTGTTGTCTTGTTGTTCATGTTTTCTTTAAATGTTTATAATACTGGAAACGTCAAATGTTGACGTTTTCTAAATTTCAATACCTCTATTATAAAATTTATCTTTTATACATTTTTAATGTACCCATTCTGCTATTACGTTTACTTCTTCTTTTCAATGGAGTTAAGTATTGAAAAGTACTTTATTAATAAATTGTTAAACTCGTTAGACAGCTCAAGTGAAGATTTGCAGGTCCAATATTAAAATAGATCAATAATAAATAAACAAATCTAATCAATATTTATATTTTTATAGCTTACAAAACATTCACGATTACTTGTTGTCCATGGTACAAAGAATACAAGGTATGATCGATAACGGCTCCAATTTCGTTCAGTTCGCGCATACCACCTGTGACGTCACTAGGAAAACAATGAATAAATAAAAAATAAAGAAAGTTGACAGGAGATCTGTATTTTTTGGGGTTATGGTTAAGAATTGTTTATTTTTAAGACTTTTTAGTTCATTTAATTTAATAATTACTAAAACCAGCAGTTCCAAAAATATATTTAAAAATAATAATTATCTATTAACATGGATTAGGACGATAATAGGTAAGAATACTAAATTTATTTCTATATTCGGTATAAAATTGTTTATTAGGTTTTTAGTTTACGATGTTTATGGTAAATAATTTTCATGTTCATTGCCTCTGAATTCACATGAGGACAGAGATGAGGATATCTATGGAAAAGTAACCACAAGAGGAATTGTTACATCATTTAAAAAATGTTGGAAAGTTTATTGTTTCCCATCAAACAGTAGAAAATGCCAATGCAGATGAATGTATTGTAATTGTGATAGAATTAATTCCAAGGGTGAAGTTTATTATAATTAGTGACCTGTGCTTCTTTTTATATGTAGATGTTTCAGGTTTTGAGAATAAATCGGTTGAATGAAACCCAAAATTTAGAGGAAGATGCCCATCAAGGATTATATAGCTCAAATTTCCTTTAATGGTAGGCAATTATTCAATGCAAATTAACTTTTTAAGTGAGTGAAATATTAAATAGTTTACAATATGGTATATCACTAAAAATATATTTTACTTTTAGGTACAATTAGGGCCCGATACATTTCAAAAAGTAGAATATTATTTTATATTAAATGAGGTATTGTACCAACAATCAATTTATATTAATACCGGAGATTAAAAAATCACAGAATAAATAGTTCTTTTTTTTATACTACAAAAATAAACTAGGTATAGAATACAACAGTATTTAAAAAAATAAATAAAAAGTTATGTCCCGGCCGAGATTCGAACTCCGGTCTCTCGTTTCCTAACCCGACTCCTTATGCACTGCTCCACAGTAACTTGCTTAGCGATAATTCAATGACGGTATATAAACAAAAAAACAGGTTTATAACAATAACTTGACGATTTGAACTGGCGCGCGAGGCGTGCTGACCAATAGCGCCTGTTATCACCTGTGATGTAGCAACCAACCTGCGCAATATCATACCTTGTATTCTTTGTACCATGCTTGTTGTCTTGTTGTTCATGTTTTCTTTAAATGTTCCTGACTTTACGAAACAATGGCTGCATGATAAGCTTAAATGGTCCTAAAAAGTAATTCTATTTATTTAACGAAATTTATTTACCTTTACTGCCTACCTTCATTGCTTTTGGATACAAAATATTACAAATTTTAGAAATTAAATGACAATTTCACTCGAACTTCCAATATTTGCTTGATTTCTGTGACATAAATGACATTGATTGACAAATAAAACCAGAAAAACCAGCCTTCTCGCGCTGGTTAGTTTGCTGACAGTTATAACCGAATTTTTCAGGAACCGTGTTCCGTAATAAGAAAACTTTCAAGAAACCGATAGAAACGGAACATAAAACCATAACAAAGGTAAGCAACGGAATACACCCTAACTAAATAAAAAATTATATCATATTTATAACATACAATTTATTTTAGGAAAAAAAAACATTGAGTTTAAAATTCTACTGAAAATAACAAGTTTAGCACACACTGCATTTCAAAATAACTTACGGTCTAAATATATATTCATTAAAATTTAAATTTTGTTTACAGCAATTTGAACCACATAAACAAGATTAATTATTAGTGGATTGTGGCTTAAAGATTTGTTTTCATTATGGCATAATATCCAATCAATATTTTGGATAAAATGGAGTTCAGTTCATTGCAAAATGCAAATTTTAATTTTAAGCGTTATGGTTGGTATAAATTCATTATAAGAAATCTGATAGCTAACTAATGAAAATGTTTTAATTATTTGGAAGAAATGTCGTATTTCGTATTTTTTACAAATATTATATATATCTTATTAGGAATATATTATACAAGGTACCAATAAATGCCTTAAATACGTGCAAATATTTGTAGGGATAGTATATTTCGACCCCAGAAACACCGTTATTTTAATTATTTTGAAAATTTGGAATTTTTTGAAAAAATGTTTGGAATTTTTTTAGCTTTTAGTTAAAAACTATAATTTCTTGATAATATGGCAACATAGGTAGTAGATTAAATTTACAAGAAAAAATCCAAAAAGATCCAGTGGTTTTCAAAATTTCATCAAAAAATATATTTTTTTAAATTTTGAAAGTAAAATAGACTTGGACTTATTTCAAAAAGGGCAAAAAGAAAATATGTTTCTTTTATCGAGATCGTCCAGCACTAAAAATATTTGCACTTATTTATATCATAGGATACAATATTTTAATGAACAGTTCTTTCCATAAAATCAATAAAATGAAAAATATACGAAATAATATACATGTACTGATTTCTTTCGAAAATCGACAACTATGAAACTACGAACCATTCCCGGACACAAACGGTACATTGTGAAACAGGAAGTTGTAAAGAGAAACAAGCCCTATAACATAGGATACAACATTTTAATGAACAGTGCTTTCCATAAACTCAATAAAATGAAAAATATACGAAATAATATACATATACTGATTTCTTTCGAAAATCGACAACTATGAAACTATGAACCCTTCCCGGACACAAACGGTACATTGTAAAAGAGGAAATTGTAGAGAGAAACAAGCCCTATAACATAGGATACAACGTTTTAATGAACAGTTCTTTCCATAAAATCAATAAAATGAAAAATATACCAAGTCATATACATGTACTGATTTCTTTCGAAAATCGACAACTATGAAACTATGAACCCTTCCCGGACACAAACGGTACATTGTGAGACAGGAAGTTGTAGAGAGAAACAAGCCCTATAACATAGAATACAACATTTTAATGAACAGTGCTTTCGATAAACTCAATAAAATGAAAAATATACGAAATAATATACATGTACTGATTTCTTTCGAAAATCGACAACTATGAAACTATGAACCCTTCCCGGACACAAACGGTACATTGTAAAAGAGGAAATTGTAGAGAGAAACAAGCCCTATAACATAGGATACATTTTAATGAACAGTTCTTTCCATAAAATCAATAAAATGAAAAATATACGAAATAATATACATGTAGGTACTGATTTCTTTCGAAAATCAACAATTATGAAACTATGATCTTTTCCCCGACACAAACGGTATATTGTGAGACAGGAAATTGTAGAGAGAAACAAGCCCTATAACATAGGATGATACAATATTTTAATGAACAGTCCTTTCCATAAAGTCAATAAAATGAAAAATATACGAAATAATATACATGTACTGATTTCTTTCGAAAATCGACAACTATGAAACTATGAACCCTTCCCGGACACAAACGGTACATTGTGAAACAGAAAATTGTAGAAAGAAACAAGCCCTACTTATTTATGACTCACACTATATTATCTATACGTTCCAGATACATATAAATTATAGATTTAAATAAGAAATATGCATAATGAATATTTTTTAACAGAACATTTTTGACATGTCTTTTCATAAAGGCATAATATTAACATTTTATTATTATCATTTCAGGTTGACATTGTGAAACAAACTGAAGAAGGTGACGTCAGCAACTACCAGGCCAATGGCGAGTTCGATTTGGTCAGTTTTTCGTCGGTGAAGCACATAGAATTTTATTCGTGCTGCTCAGAACCCTATCCCGACATTACCTACATAATCAAGATCAGAAGACGACCTCTATTCTATGTTTTTAATCTGATCCTGCCCTGTATATTAATAAACGGTATAGGTAAGTACAAAACCAAATTCGATAAAAGATGTGGTTTAAATGTCATTATTTTTAGTTTTGATGAATTTTAGAAAACTAAACCTGCCTGCCTGCCTGCCTGCCTGCCTGCCTGCCCTGCCTGCCTGCCTGCCTGCCTGCCTGCCTGCCTGCCTGCCTGCCTGCCTGCCTGCCTGCCTGCCTGCCTGCCTGCCTGCCTGCCTGCCTGCCTGCCTGCCTGCCTGCCTGCCTGCCTGCCTGCCTGCCTGCCTGCCCGCCCGCCTGCCCGCCCGCCTGCCTGCCTGCCTGCCTGCCTGCCTGCCTGCCTGCCTGCCTGCCTGCCTGCCTGCCTGCCTGCCTGCCTGCCTGCCTGCCTGCCTGCCTGCCTGCCTGCCTGCCTGCCTGCCTGCCTGCCTGCCTGCCTGCCTGCCTGCCTGCCTGCCTGCCTGCCTGCCTGCCTGCCTGCCTGCCTGCCTGCCTGCCTGCCTGCCTGCCTGCCTGCCTGCCTGCCTGCCTGCCTGCCTGCCTGCCTGCCTGCCTGCCTGCCTGCCTGCCTGCCTGCCTGCCTGCCTGCCTGCCTGCCTGCCTGCCTGCCTGTCTGTCTGTCTGTCTGTCTGTCTGTCTGTCTGTCTGTCTGTCTGTCTGTCTGTCTGTCTGTCTGTCTGTCTGTCTGTCTGTCTGTCTGTCTGTAACGCGATAACTCAGTAGCTAGCGAAACGCGGTTTTCAATTTAAGATTAGGATAATATTTGCAACAAAATTTGTAATAACATCAAAATTAGTCAAAGTCGCAGTTTTTGAGATAAAAAATATATCAAGTATGGGCGGCTATACGTGTCTCCCGGCGCCAATTTTTTTTCTTTTCATCTACACACAAGGTTTTACTTCATACGTTTTGACTGAACAGGTAAGACTGGCAGGTAAAACCTTATGTGTAGTAGTAACATTAAGACTTTAAGATTAAAAAACTAGAACCAACTAAATTTTAGTGACGATTACTAAGGAATTTGTAAGAGTGTGATCAGAAAACTAAATCTCTCGATTTAACTTAACAATCGACTACCTGGGCCATTGAAAGTTCATCTTATTTCCTAAAGGGCTCTATTCTAGAGAGCACAGCACGTAGAAGCCCTCTAGCTTGTTGTCTGTAAACAACGTCTAACGTGGAATAATAATAAGCTAGGAAAAGAAAAATAGAAAAAAAAATAGTTACGAAGTACTCGCCTAATGGATTATGTGCGCATACTAAGCAAACACCTACGTGTTTGTCTGGCTTTCGAAATATTTTATCTGTGGCTAGAGCTAGTTTTAAATGCGCTCGCATTTAATTTTTAACTTTAATTTGCCCCTTGACCCGTTCAACGTATTTTGTTCTAGGTTTGTTTTATGGAAAACTGTAGTACATTTTCATTTAAAAGTTGTAATGGTTAATTTAAATGCTTTGTTGAGTAGAATATACGGAGCGAACCAGAATGGTTGAAAAGGTTGGCAAAACTGTTGGAGGATTGTAGGATTTGTGATTGGTACCGTGGTAAAACAAATTATCGATCGAACATTTTCAAAAAGTGTGTCAATATTGACAATGTTTTTTTATTTTTTTAACTGATTTTTAACGTTTCAAATTTGTCGCGTGAACGATAGGTCCTCGACAAGGATAGAAAGAGTAAAAGCACCGCGTGTGCAACAAAAAAAGAAGATAAATTGAAGTCGCTGATATGTTTGCGACAGTTTCCATAGTGACTAATTTATCCATGTAAGTATATACAGGTTATTAATTTGTTTATTACTAGCGGTAAGAGCTTTATGGTTGAAATATGGCAACCTCGGCCCGCTCGTCGAGAGACGACGCAACGGGACCAGTCGGCAGCTTAGCTTAGTACAATGACTAAAGAATCCAAGGAAAAATAACACCCAAGACCAAATTGTTACCATGCCACCAAACAGTGCCGTGGCACATATTTTTCTTAACTTAGCTGTTTGAAGAGACATTGGCGTAACTACAGGGGTGCACGGGGGTGCCGCTCCCCCACAGGCACCCCGCAGAGAAATCCTGAATTATTACTCTTGGCTACGTATTAATTTTTATTTGCTTGTAATGCAGTAAAAATATCGTTTTCTAGTTTTGTTTAATTAACAATATTTTGTTGTGTTCAAAAAATGTGTGAATTTTTATTGTTTTAGAAAATTTGTAATCTACGGGAACAGAGTTTGATAACCAAGTCTATGAAATTTATTGATAGAGAAATTCATGTAAACGTTTTATTCAAAAAATGTGTTTTTTAAAATTATTTTTCATTTTTAAAAAAACAAAAGCCCTAGGCCCCCCCTGGGTTCAACCCCAGGCCCACCCCAAGATAAATTTCTTGTTACGCTAATGTGAAGAGATATTTATATTTTTTGATAAATGTTTTGACTACGGCTATGATGTATACGTTGGTATCATACTAATTAATTACGAAAAAAAACGTATTAAATTGTTAACAAAAGGTACAAAACTAGTATCGACGTATAATATAACAATTTTAGATTGAAGTACATATAATATCAGAAAAATAATTATCGAATTCAATAAGAAAACTAAGAAAACGCAAAAAAAGTGGAGCGGACTGTGTATTTACCTATGAAAACGAACACTTTCTTATCGCTGTGGCTTTTAAACTTGAAAGTTGAACAACTAATCACCATTGTAACAAAGTTTATACAAAGTTCACTACACACAAACTATTAAAAATCGCTAAAATTGTCGCTGATGACTCATTCGCTGTTATCAAAAAAATGGCGTCTAAGGTAACAAATTATCAGAGATATGGAAGTGGGAGAATGAGCTTCGACGAGTGCGCATCCAAATTTTTGTCGACGGCAAGATGGCAGACATCTTCCAGGTCTCGCTGTCACTTCCCCTCTTTAATTGACATCTGTTTGTTTTGTTTTGTTTTTCGTTTGTGTTGTTATCTAGTTAAAATTTATTATTATCTCAATTATTCTAAACACTAATTCAAAAAGGCTTGTTGTATATTCATAGTCATTCTAAGAAAGCTAATACGCCGGGAATAATGATTAGTTTTCATGTGTAAGTTTATACAACATAATCGTGTTTACAGATGATTCAAAACTGTTTATTTTAGTTTTCCTAAAGGCGATTTGTAAAAATCGTGATTGTAATTGGGAATGGTCAAAAATAAGTGTATGATGTGGCCATTTAAAGAGGATGTTTTTATTACGTGTGGAGGAAGAAGATACTTGGAATCAATGTTCGTGCTTCTGTAAAACAGTGCACTCTTATAGTGTCCATGAAAGCACAAGTTCAAGTGACCAGAAATATATCAAATAAGATTGGTCCTTACTTGACAAGAAGATTATTTGGAGGAAAAGAAAACATAAGATAAGGTATTTTAATCAAACAGCGAAAATTTAACACTTTTATTGTAAAGTTTGTTGTAGGTAGTTGTAGTTTTGTGCTAAATATTTCTAACATTAGCAGCAGCCGTGTTCAGAGTGTCAAGAGGAGGAGAATTCAGTTAATTAGATTTATGCACAGTTACAGGTATGAAGGCTTTTTCAAACATAGTATCGAGTTCTATAGTCAACATTTTTAGTATTCCTACAACTGTAAAAACAAGGAACATTGGACTGAAAAAATGGCAAGATTTATATAGGAAGAAAGGGTATTATGCCAATAAGAAAATTAAATCTGTAGGCAGAAGTTTCTTATTTAAAAACTGTTATGGGGCATATATTAATTTGTATCTGTGCCACAAATCACTGAGAAAAATCATATAATATTCATAATTGTTAACGAGATGATATTTAAAGAGTGTTAAAAATGAGATTATTAGTCATGAAGCTTACAATGTTACTTTGTTTCAATATTACACTTTTATTCTTGTAAAATCTATGATGAAGCTCAAAAGCATTTTGCAATGGCCTTAAATTGTGAGCCAGGATTTATAGCAAAGGTATTTGATGCAATGAAACTTAATCAGGGGATTATCAATCCCATGTTTTTAAATAGATAAAATACAGGCCAAAGTTGACAATATTACAGTTGAGAAGAAACTATTTTATCTTAAAAAAAATTTCTTAAACTTCTGAGATCATATAATCTAATTTTCTTAATAATAAATTAGGTATATGTATGTTGTACATACAGAATTTTGGTATGGACAAATAAGGATCGACAAGCTTCTTTTGTGCAAAAAATAAATTATTTTTTGTAGTATTAAGACAAACGATAATGTGTTTTACAAACTTACCGGTAACAGTTTTTTTATAATAAAATATTTAGGAATAATTTGGGTTGTTTATCAATATATTAATGACTTGAATTTTGACAAATTGAATTTGTATCAAAATAATTTTACGAAATATAAAATTGATGTTCTATTACAAGACTGAGTTTTTTTTGTTGACAAAAACCAGGATAAATACTAATAATAATACCCATAATAAAATCAATGATGTTTATGTATTATGAAAATATTTGTTAGAAGACATGTTATGTAACAGTTTTTGTAACACAATTTGAAGGGACGAATAAAAAAAAATAAAACAAAAACATATTTTTTCTAGGTTTATATTAAAAATACAAGGTAAGTAATCATCAAAAATAATTATGCACCAAATGTTTTTTATGAATATACAGCTTGAACAAAAAGTTGTTTAGAACAATTTTTACCAAATTTGCAAACATTTTAAATTGAAACGCGTAATTCTGTACAAGTAAACATGAAATAATTTAAATACTTATTTAATTGCATTTCGAGTGTTTAACGACGAAAAGGTCATCTGTCTAGGGTTCCCAACCATCCCGGTTTAGCCGGGATTAACCAGGAATCAGAAAGTTTGTCCAGGCGAAAGTTTTGTCTTGGCCGGGACCTGGTAACTAAAAAAGTGTGTACTACACACATAATATATTTTTTTTCTAATATTTAATGTTTTGTTTCAATTATTTAAAAGCTTAAAGATAATTGTCCCGGAATAGCCGATGCTCAAGTTGGGAACCCTACATCTGTCCGTAGCGTCTTTTGTCAGAATATTCGTATATTTAGTGTTATATAAATTATAAATATAGTTATACCAATATTGTATGCAGTTTTGAAACTGATAATTAAATAAATCATATTAATGTTAACTAACCATAATAAATGATAGAATTTCACTAAATTTAAATTGCCCCCCGTATGGTTGAAAACAGCAAATTGATATTTGATTACTTATAGATTACCACCTATATACAAAATGACAGGAAGACCTGGAATATGGCGCCCAACTTGATTAGACCTTCCGCGCATGTTGAAGCTCATTCTCTATCCCTTCTATTTCTCTGCAAATTATGCTGCAGCCCGTATATGGGCGTTACATGTCCTTATATTCTTTAGTCATTGCTTAGTACTCATTTGAAATGTAGGCAGCGTTGCCATTCTGTTCCGCAATAAGTAACCGTCCAGTTAACAATCTGTATATGATCTAGGATAAAAAATCAGAAAAACTGTCAAAGCTGAAATGGGTCTACTAACAGGGCATTGTTAATAGACATCTAAGAGAACCACAATATAATCATATAAAAAAAGTCTACAATTTCAAGTAGAATGCTAAGAAGCAATTAGTATAATGGACATTTCATTAAAGCAAAAGAAAATGCCATATTCGCTTACATCAGCAACGAAAATTTTAGATTGAATTCTCCATAAAGATCTAATAGAAAACTTACCGTGAATAACCATGTATATGAAAAGATATAATAATCAGTTAGAATATTCATAAGGACGTGTGAAACCATTATAATTACTTCGCTTTAATTTATTCACGTGATTAAACATGCACACAAAAGCCATTTCTGGCTAGTTGTAGCTCTAATGAACACGCCACCAAACTTCTGAAAACGGATATTGAGCGTTATTCGTCTTGTCTCTATACTATATTCTCTCACCAACTTTAGTATTAATAATTAACTGAATGTATATCAGTAGTACATTTTCATAAAACATGTATTTTATTCAATATTCGACATCTTGTGGAAAAAAAATATACAGGGTGCTACAAATTCGAGGTACGAGAATTTGTATCTCGGTAACCGTAATAGATACAAACATGGTTAAATTGGGCTAAAGTTGCGCTTTGTGGTGTTCACAAGATGCCATCAAAAAAGTTTTAAAAATTTCAAGCATTGCTGAGTTTTTTGAAAAAAAAACAGATTTTTTTTAAAATCAATTTTATTTTTTCCTGTCGTTAATTTTAAAAAAATCAAAAAACTAATTGCACATTCTCATAGCCACTTTATTAGGGCTATCTGATAGTATTTTTAGATTTTCAAATTAGCTGATAATTTGTGAGATACATAGACCAACTTAATTTTTTTAAACACGGACCTGCATTTTTTATTTCCGGTTTTGAAAGAACTCGGTTTCCTGAGTACAATGATATGCCACACTTTATTCTTTTTTTTTTTGTTTTGGGTACGTTAACAACAAAAAAACTATTTAATTATTATTTAAAATAATTTCAAGTCCGACTCTGTTTTTTTTTTTAATTATTTAATCTGATGATATTCATCGCAACAATATTGATCAGTGCTAATTACCATTGAATAAATAAATGCCTTTACTGTCAAAAAAATTTTCAATTTGTAGACAAAGGTAAACTAACAAACAAAGTAAAAAAACAAGGTACACAAACAAACAAACAAAAGATCATACAAAATATTATACAAATAATATTGTCAGTCTTATTGTTAAAATAAACATTTATAAATGTTTATAATGTCAAAGAACAAAAAATAAAAATAATATTCAAAAATATTTAGCTAGTTTATAGTAAAATATCAATGACCCCTAAATAAATTCATTTCGATGTCATTAGTAAATATAGCAATAGCAAACATTAGACCAGTGTTTACAAGATCAAATTTGATTTTCAAAATATAATTCATTTACGGCGTAGAAAGCCTTGTCTAGTAAATAAGAGTTCAATGCTTTGCGAAATGAAAAAAAAATGATGTTATGGATTTGATTTCAAATGGCAGGTGATTGTGCATTTTTTTCGAGTTGTATAATATTGAACTTTTAACTAACTCTGAGCGTGGGGTAGGTAGATAAAGATCTTGCTCCGCGTTCCTGAGTGGATAAGTGTGAGATGGCCTTTCTTGAGAAGCTGATACATGTTTACGTATTAGGCAAACGGATTCAAATATAAATAAGGAAAGAAGAGTCAATATTGTTAATTTTTTACAAAAGTCCCGGCAATGAGTTCTGCTGTTTAGTCCCAGTGAATATCGAACAGCTCTCTTCTGGAGCCTGAAAATGCGGTCAAATTGAGTCGCACAACACGTACCCCCGAATGGAAGGGCATACCTGAGGTGCGACTCAAAAAGTGCATAATAAACAGTTCTAGCCACTGACAAGTTAAGCTCCTTAGAAACAGACCTCAATGCAAAACAGGCAGAGCTCAATTTTTTCGACAAAGCTTCGATATGTATGTCCCATTTCAGAGAATTGTCCACAACAAGCCCTAAGAATTTTACAGACTTGACGACGTCAATGGTGGTGTTGTTAAGTACAAAAGGCTGCAACGAGTTTTTATACGACAAAGCTTTAGTTTTAGAAATGTTGAATGAATAAGGAAAATCGAGCCAATTGGAAGATTCAAATAAATTATATCCAGGTCAGAAATTTAAAGATATTATTTTTATTTATTTTTTATTGTGAATTTGAAATCTCAGTGTGCGATCTAATAATATGTGTAATATTCATCGTAGTTATTATAAAGAAATAAACTTCTATAAACTAGTTTCTAATGACCTACGAAAGGCTTCCTATTGCACAAATTTATTTTTCGTTCAATTTTATTTTGTGTTTATAGCTCTTTGAACTTTCTTCTTATACTTCCGAAAGCATTTTGTACTCTTTATTGTAAATGTTGAGATGTATTGATTTCACTTTTACAAATGACGTGAAGTAATGTAGTCATTTGTATTATATATTATTTTTTATTATTTTATTGCATTTGATTTTCAATATTCAATGTTTTACCCCACGTAATTGTTAAGTTTGAAAGCTTATCAATATTGTAAAGATGAATAGATTATATATTAAAAAAAAACAGGGCCGGAGTTGAAATTAGTTTAAATAAATTGTGTTCAAATGTCCGAAACAAAAAAAATATTATGTGTGGCATATCATTGTACTCAGGAGACCGAGTTCTTTCAAAATCTGAAATAAAAAAATGGAGGTCCGTATTTAAAAAAAATAAGTTGGCCTCTGTATCTCACAAATTATCAGCTAATTTGAAAATCTAAAAATACTATCAGATAGCCCTTATAAAGTGGCTATGCAAGGATATGCAATTAGTTTTTTGATTGTTTTAAAAGTAACGACAGGAAAAAATAAAATTCATTTTCAAAAAAATCCTACATATCCTTACTTACATTAACCTACATATCCTCACAAAATTTCATTTCAATAAAAACTGCCGTTCTCCTTGGAGATACATTAGTATAAAAGATGCAAACTTAATTGAAATAAGGGATGAATTCAATATGACCGGATAAACAAAAACGTAAACAACCCTTAGATTTGTCGTCCCTGTAGTTTAAGGGTGTTTTGAGACTTTGAAAGGTTCGTTCGACTTGATTACTCTATTAATCCAGAGAGTCTGTAAAGGTCTTAAGTAAGTTAAGCCAAATGGATGTCCAAAAAGGGTTTTAGCTCCGAGTTAACAAAGGTGCAAGGGTCAATTATCCTTATTTATAAATGTTAGATTTCGTTTAGGTTAGTTTCTGTTTAGTTTCTTAAAGTTAAATAAGTCTTTCACTGCAAAATATCTGCAGTTAAAGTGTTACCAGCGACTCACAAAGATAAAATTAATTTTGAAAACCAGCTAACATAAAAAAAATTAGTATTTTTTCGAAATATTCATGGCTCAAACATAAAATGAATTCTTATTAGATTTACTGGATCTAAACCAAAGATCTTTTCTTTTATTTTCAGCTTTATTGGTGTTTTACGTTCCATCAGAATCTGGGGAAAAGGTCACCTTGGGAATTAGCGCGCTGCTGTCCATGACGGTGTTTTTAATGACCATTAGGGAAACTCTGCCACCAACGGAGAAAACTCCACTAATAAGTAAGTAAAAGAGTCTTGATTCTTTTCTAAATCTTTAATTCTATACAGGTTGTCCCAATATTCCGTGGACATAGAACTATTACTTATTTTTGGAATCAAAATATGTTTATTGGACACAATTTAATTTACCTGTATACAAAAGTGCTTTATTTGTCCGCTAGAGGGCTTCAAACTCTAAACAACACTTTTTTAAGATATTTTAAGAACCGTTATTCCGATTTGAATGAGATTTTGGGTGACTATGTTTTGCTAAGTGCTTTAACATTTGACTTTCACAAAAACCAAAAAAAAGTAGGATGGGTGAAAACTACCCCCACCTCTACATAAATTTTAGTAGAAATATTTTCCAACTCTACCGAACGCGACGCGACGACAGATTTTCTTTTCGTAAAATGGTTTCTCTAGTATTTAGGTACTAAGTATATTTTTTGTCTCTTGTAAAAAACGCCACATCGCATAGTTTTTGAGAAACATTTTTTTAGAGAATTTATTTTCCAAGGTAGACCTACAAAATATACAGGGAATTCCAATATTCTGTGGAGATAGAACTACGTATTTTTTCTACTACGTTTGATTTCGGAACTACGTTTGATTTCGGAAAAGGCCAATATTGACTCTGAAATTCAGCACAGGATTAGTAGCGCCTCAAGAGCATTCTGGAAATTAAAAGACAGGGTTTTCTACAATCATGACTTGAGTACAAAAACAAAACTTGCAGTATACCGAGCAATTATAATCCCCACCATGATATATGGGAGCGAAACCTTGCCTTACCGCCGACACATGAACGCATTGAACAAGTTGCAACAGAGACACCTTAGACAACTCTTAAGAGTCCGGTGATTCCATCATGTCTCAAACGTATCGGTCCTTGAAAAATCTAACTGCGAGAGTATTGAAGTCATGGTCACAAAATCCCGCTTAAGATGGGCTGGTCACGTATGCAGAATGCAAGAAAACCGCATACCAAAATCACTGCTTTACGGTGAGCTTGTGGACGGTAAGAGGAGGCCGGGTGGACAACTGAAGAGATACAAGGACATTTTCCACGAAAATTTAAAGGGAATTAACATGCAGAATGAGTGGGAAAAAGCAGCTCAAAATAGAACTCAATGGAGAAGGGTTGTAAACTCAGTTAACAGCGGCAACCAAAAAATAGAGAGGCAAGAATAGATTTTTGAATGTCCGGAGTGCGGTAGGCAGATAACATCACGTATCGGGCTTTTCAGTCACAGAAAAGCTCATGAAAGAAAACGCCTTGCGTGACCATTTTCTTTATGTGTGTCGAATACTCGTCAGCGAGTAACGGCTGTATGTATGTATGTATGTACGTATTTTTTTAATCAAAACAAGTTAATTGCACATCATTTACCTTTATACAAAAGTGCTTCGTTTGTCCGTTAGAGGGCATGAATAAAAAATAAACCCGAACAAACAAACAAACACAACGCTTTATTGTACAAAAAGCCAAAACAGCTTCATCGACAAAGCAAAACAAAAAAACACAAAAACAAATATACAAATAAACAAGTAAAAATGTCATACAATACAAATCAATTCAAAAAAAAAATACGTGATAAAATTATAAATAAAACATATATGGACATTGCAGAACACAGGCGTATCTAGAAAATTTTACAAAAGGGAAACTGTAAATTAGTAGTGGGAACTATCGAATGAATACTATCGAAACATTCGATAGTTGCAATTCATTCGAATAATTCGATAGTTAGTAAGAAAACATTCGTTGAAAACTATTCGAATAAAAATTATCGAATAGATCCGTCATCTGCCTTGAAATATTGTATTCTAGTAATTCGGCAGCAAAAACCATTCATTTATAAAATTCATTCATTTATAAAATTCATTCATTTATAAAATTCATTCATTTATAAAATTCATTCATTTATAAAATTCATTCATTTATGAAATTCATTTATTCGTCAGGATCGATTATAATAAAATATTAACTGAATTTTAGTTGTCGCTAGGGTTCCCAACCGTCCCGGTTTGGCCGGGATTAACCAGGAATCAGAAAGTTTGTCCCGGCGAAAGTTTTGCCTTGGCCGGGACCTAATGTTATGTTTTATGTTTAAAAATTAAAAAAGTGTGTACTACATAATATATTTCAATTTCTAATATTTAATGTTTTGTTTCAATTATTTAAAAGCTTAAAAATAATTGTCCCGGAATCGCCAGTGCTCAAGTTGGGAACCCTAGTTGTCGCCCGGCGACGTAGGTTTTTTTCCGAGAAAGCGGTCGGTGGCAATGCTATGAAAGAAGCCGGCATCTTTGATTTTTTGCGGAGTCATATATAGATAAGGACACATTATTTTTTTTATTGAGGTGCTAGTATTTACACAGAAAATACATTATGAAGGGCGCTGTTGCCATATTTTTGTATTAGTTGATATTAGCAAAGAATATTATTGTTTGGCTTTAGTTAGTTAGGGATAGTATGTCTATATATTTTGCATTTTTTTATTAATATTCTGTTGTTACACTGCAATAATACTTGTTATTTTGGATGTAGGAAAATTATTTTTAATGTTTTTAAGCAAAGACTAAACCGTCAAATAATAATAACAGTAATAATTTGTTATACCTATTAACAACAAAATTTAAAATCATTTAATATAAATATTTTTTTTAAGTAGTAGCAAAATATAAACAACAAATTAGATGTCAAAATTATTTATATTAGATCCTATTTAAAAATAATATAGTCTCTAATTTTTTTGGCAACGTTGGTTTATTAAATAATAATAATTACAGAACTAATTTGTTATATTAACAACAAATTTTAAAATCATGAAATATAAACATTTATTAATTTTCTAAGCATGCAGTGTAATGGAAGGAAAATATAAATAAAAAATTAGAAATCAAAATTATTTATATTAGGTGCTTTATATTACTATTTAAAAATTATATTTACTTTTACTGGCATTTACTTTAAAAAATAAATGAAATATTTTTTCTTCGCAAAAAACTACATGTAAGAGAATTAGCATAAACAAAATATAAACATCGTTAACTTTTGAATTGGCACGTGTAAAACTTTCATTTTAATTTTCTCACCCCATAGTTTGAGTTCGATAACCATTTACTTAAATATGATTATACAACCACATTACTTAAATATGATTATTAAGTTCAACTAATTCATATTATTAAAACATCTAAAATACAAATATGTATTTTTCAAATTAATTGTAAGTTCATCTCATCTCTCTTAAAAATTGCTACTTCTCAAAATTTCCCATTAAAAAATAGACCATATACATATAAAATTAAATAATTGAAAGATCGGACTACGGAAAACCACACAAATTATCGGAAAAATTTTGACCACCTACACATGCACACAATCGTCAATAAATAAAATTAAAAAATAACTACTATTTTAGTATTTTAACTATTTTAATAAACGCAAAAATAGCACAGTATTTATACGGCAAAGTTATAAAAATTTGGAAGAACCAATAATGCCACTGACGCATACAAAAATCAAACGAATACTAAATTTCATTTATCTAAAGCATTCGATAGTCGTGGCTCAACGATAACCATTTAGTCGCACGGCGAGGTTGTCACATATGCTTTAGTTTACAAATGAATGAATGATTTTATTCGAATAAAACCATTCGATAGTTGAAATCATTCATTCATTAACCATTCGATAGTCTAATTCATTCGATAGTTCTCATCGCTACTGTAAATGGATAAAATAATGTTATATATTATAAAATCAAGAGTTATAAAATATTAAATACTAGACCTTTAACCAGTGTGTGAGATGATCAAAATTTTAAAATTCAAAATTGTTCATAATTAAACAGCAACAAAAAAGTCGTTTACCCCGCATATAGGGCTCTCTCCAGTAAGTATAATTTCAGAGCTTTGCGAAATGCGGGAAAGAATGAAAGTGACTTGATATTCGAAGGCAAATGATTGTACATTTTCTTGGCATTGTACAGTATTGAGCACTTAACTAGTTCTGAGCTCGGGGTTGGCAGATAAACATCGTGCTCCGCATTCCTAAGTGGATAGTTGTGAGAAGGCCTTTCCGGAATAGAGAATATGTGCTTGCGGATTAAGCAAACGGATTCAAAAATGAATAAGGAAGGAAGAGTCAGTATTTTGAAAATTTTAAAGAAATTCTGGCAGTGAGTTCTACTGTTTAGTCCCAATAAGTATCGAATGGAAGGGCATAACGAAGATGCGACTCAAAAAGGGCATAATAGACCATTCTAGAGGTTGATGAGTTAAGTTCCTTACAAACAGGCAGAGCTTAGTTTCTTTGATAAGGCTTCGATGTGCAAGTCCCATTTTAACGAGTTGTCTACAACAAGTCCTAAGAATCTCACAGAGTCCACGACGTCAATAGTGGTGTTATTAAGTACAAAAGGTTGTATAGTACTTTTATATGACAAAACTTTAGTTTCTGAAAGGTTGAGGCATAGGAGATTAGAATCGCACCAAGATTTAATGGTGCGTAAGTCACTGGATATAGTACTATATAGGGCCGTAACATCTGGGCCGCTCCAAGTGGAACTAGTGTCGTCCGCAAAGAGGCAAATTTTACCGCTAATGTCTAGACTTGCAATGTCGTTGATAAACACCAGAAATAAAATAGGGCCAAGTACTGAACCCTGAGGGACACTGGCACTCCCCTGAATCCATAGTATTGCAATTTGTTAATTAAGATATTATGATTTACACAGTCGAAAGCCTTAGAGAAATCACAGAAAATTGTAGCTGTAGAGTGATGGTTATTCAGGCTAGAGTATACATTATTAAAAAGGTCGAACATAGCATCATTTGTGCAACTGTTACTTAGAAATCCAAATTGATAGGTAGAAAGTACTTTATATTTAAGGAGAAAAGATAGAAGCCTTTTTTTAACCAATCTTTCAATGATCTTAGATAATGTGGGCAGGAGAGCAATTGGGCGATAGTTCGAAGCTTGATCTTTATCTCCTCCTTTACGCAGAGGA